GGTGAGGGATAGGGGCGAGGAGGAGGAGAAAGAGGAGAAGGAGGAGGAGGAGAATGAGGAGAAGGAAGAGGAGGAGGAGGGGGAGGAGGAGGAGGAGAGGTGGAACAAGTAGTGTTTCCTGTTTTCGAGAGTTCTCCCCCTTCGTTTTTTGTCGGCGACCTGCCTGTGTTTTTTTTTTGTTTGTCCTCAGTTCTTTGTTTTCCAGCGCCTTCATTGGGAATGTCTGTGTGGACCCCCCGCAAAGAATTTCGAGCGTGAGGCTTTTCGATCGGAGCCCTCAGTAGTGCTTTTCACCAGATTCATGTCGTGGGGTGTTCCAGAGGATTTCGGTTACGAAGCTTTCCGACAGGAGCCCTCAATTACGCTTTCCAGCTGATTATCTTTTGTGAGGCTTTGCAGCATAATCCCTTCGCAGCGATTTTTTTCATAGGATTCGTTTTTTTTCAATTTTATTCCCGCCGCCAGCCTACGAGATGTATGATCTTGGGGGTGACCGCACACACATACATATATACATGTATACAACATACATATATGTCTACATCGATGTTTCGCATCTACTTCCCCAAGCAGGTTTTTTCGCTTTTGTTTTTGTTGAACTCTCATTTCTGAAGGCTAATTTTTGTTGATCCCCCCCCGTCCGGTGCCCATTGCAGTTTTTCAATTGAAGTGCCCCTCTCGGGGCTCGCACCCTTCTTTTATCAGGGCAAGTCTTGAGGCTCAAACTGTGTCGTTGGCCCCCGGTTTACATCAACAATGGCTCCCGCCTGATGCTTCCTCACAATTTATTGAAGGATCGCGCTCTCGCTTGGGACTTCCTGGCACTTACCGAATCGCGGCTCCCGCTTGATACGTGACTCTTCCTCACGATTTATTGCAGAATCGCGTTCTCGTTTGGGACTTCCTCGCAACTTACCGCCGAACCGCTTCGGTTGATATTTCTTCACAATCTATTCAGATGCTGGTCCTCAACACTCAGGAATCGCGCTCCCGCTACATATTGCCTGGCGGTTCAAGCAGGACTCACGCTTCAACGACCCGCCCGTCGGGGCCTGCCTGCCCGACCAGCCCGTTAATGACTGCAGTCGCCGCTCGCTGCCCTTCGCCTACCTTCGCTCGCTGCCCTTCGTGGCCCCGTCGCTGCCCTCAGTGGTCCCGTCGCTGCCCTTTGTGGGCCCGCATTCTATGCTCTTCGTGGCCCCCGCTCGCACGTGCCCGTCGTGGCCCCATACGCATGCCCTTCGTAGCCCCGCTGTCGCCCGTCGTGGCCCCCTCGCTGCCCTTCGTGGCCCTTTTGCTGCCCTCAGTGGCCCCGCTGTCGCCTTTTCTGGCCCCGTATACGAATGCCCTTCGTGCCCCCCGCTCGCTCGCGCCCGTCGTGGCCCCATATGCATGCCCTTCGTGGCCCCGCTGTCGCCCTTTGTGGCCGCCTCGCTGCCCTTCGTGGCCCTGGTGCTGCCCTCAGCGGCCCAGTCGCTGCCCTCTGTGGCCTCGGATTTTATGCCGCTTGTGGCCCACGCTGGCTTTTCTCACGATTTACGTGGGAATTGCGACATCGCTCGAGACTTCCTCGCGACTCATGCAAGACCCACGCTTCAGCAACCCGCCTGCTCGACCTCGTCGCCTGGGCCCGCCTTCCCGACCTGCCTGCCCGCTATGGGTCTGCCCACCCGATCAGCCCGTCTAGTTCTACCACTTGTTTTATGCTCCTTGCCCCCCTCCTGCTAATTTCTCTCGTGTTCCATTCTTCTCCCTCCGCGTTCCACCCGTCCTCTCTTCCCTTGTTTGAGGGACTCCGCGCTAAATACACGTGGTAGGTAAGGAAGATATACCCCCAAGGGGGTGCAATCGAAGACGACGAGGGCGGCTACCGAGAGCTTGAGATATACGTACTGATTGGCACGTGTGCAGATAGGAGCGAACAGTCTTGAAGTTATGTTTGTTATTGTTGTCGTTGTTTCTTTTCTGTGGAGCTGGCCCTGAATGTCGGTCTGGCGGCTCCGTGCTAGCCGCCGCCAACCCGTCGCCGCCTCGTCGCCGCCCGTCGTCTGGCCCTGGGTGCCGGTCTGGCGGCTCCGTGCTCACCGTCGCCGCTCCGTCGCGCCTCGCACAGATTGCACTGCATAGACAGTACCGCATAGAGCGTACCACTTTAAAAACACACCACTCATATTGCACTGCATACGCCGCATATGCATGTACATATGGTCCAGGGTTTGGGCCCCCCCCCCAATGCTGATGCCATTGGGCCCCCCCCCCCCGCGCGATGGTCCCCCCCGCCCCCCCCTGTGGGCGTGGCGTGGTGCTGCGCTGCGGTTCCCCCCCCCCCCCTGTGGATGTGGTGTGGTGCTGTGGTGGTTCAGAGGTGGGCGTGGCGTGGTGTTGCACTGCGGTGCCCCCCTCCCCCCCCCTGTGGATGTGGTGTGGTGCTGTGGTGGTTCAGAGGTCGTCGTCGTCGTCGTCGTCGTCGTCGTCGTCGTCCTCGTCGTCCTCGTCGTCCTCGTCGTCCTCGTCGTCCTCGTCGTCGTCGTCGTCGTCGTCATCGTCGTCGTCGTCGTCGTCATCGTCGTCGTCATCTTCGTCATCGTCGTCGTCGCCGCCGCCGCCGCCGGCGTCGTCGCCGCCGCAGCCGTCGTTGTCGTCGTCGTCGTCGTCGTCGTCGTCGTCGCCGTCGTCGCCGTCGTCGCCGTCGTCGCGTCGTCGTCGTCGTCGTCGTCGTCGTCGTCGTCGTCGTCGTCGTCGTCGTCGTCGTCGTCTCTGGGACCATACCATCTGGGGGGGGGGGGGTCCGAGGAATCCTGGGACCATACCATCTGGGGGGGGGGGGCCCGTGGCCTCGACCCTGGATCATATATCTGCATGCATTTCTATATGTAGGTACGTAGACATGTATGTATGTATGTATGTATGTTGTATGTATGCATGCATGCATGCATGCATGCATGCATGTATCTCTATATACATGCATGCATGCATGCATGCATGCATGCATGCATGCATGCATGTATGTATGTATGCATTCATGTATGAACGAATGAATGCATGAGTGCATCTGTTCATATCTATCTATATATTTATACATACATGTATATAGATATCGGCACGCGGGAAATACCACATAGATGGCATCACATAGATCGTACCACATCTATTGCAACACACCGAGTGCAACATATAGGCCGCACCACATACATTGCACCACGTGGCTAGCACCAAACATAGACTGCACAACATAGATGGCAGCACACATATTGCTTCACATGTATTGTGCAACATGTATTGCACGACGTAAATCGCACAACATAGATATCAATCCATATCTTGCACAAGATAGACACTACAACATAGATCGCACCACACAGGTTGCACCACATATATTGTACCTCACACGTTGCACCACACATGTCGTGCCACATTTACTGGTCCACATCGGTTGCACACTATAGATTGCTAGATGCGTCCTGTTTGGGGTCCACATTGACTAACAGAAGTCTGTATACATACATGGACCTAGTTTGGCGACTTTCTGTTCTCCGTTGCAGTCTTCTCGTGTACCTTCGGCTTCTTCGTGAGGCCCCGGCTGGTAGTCGCGATGCCGTGCCGTAAGGATTCACTTGAGCTGTCACATCTTCAGGATTCGCCCCCCCCCCCCCCCCCCCCCCAAAAAAAAAAGAAGAAGATGTCCCAGTGCGACCCTACCTAGGAGTTGGAACCCCTAGGAAAGCAGCATTAGTAGTAACCGTAACGCTAAGCTAAAGCTAAGCTAAAACTAAGCTAAAGCTAAGCTAAAGCTAAGCCACAGCTAAGCTAAAGTTAAGCTAAAGCTAAGCTAAATCTAAGCTAAAGCTAAGCTAAAGCTAAGATAAAGCTAAGCTAAAGCTAAGCTAAAGCTAAGCTAAAGCTAAGCTAAAGCTAAGCTAAAGCTAAGCTAAAGCTAAGCTAAAGCTAAGCTAAAGCTAAGCTAAAGCTAAGCTAAAGCTGAGCTAAAGCTAAGCTACGCTACAGCTAAGCTACAGCTAAGCTCAAGCTAAGGTAAAGCTAAGCTCAAGCTAAGCTAAATCTAAGCTAAGCTAAGCTAAACGCTAAGCTAAACGCTAAGCTAAACGCTAAGCGAAACGCTAAGCTAAAGCTAAGCTACAGCTAAGCTAAAGCTAAGCTAAAGCTAAGCTAAAGCTAAAGCTGAAGCTAAAGCTAAAGCTAAAGCTCCCAGGGGACTGGGGGGAACCGCGGGGCGGGGACTGGGGGAACCGCCCGGGGCGCTTTGCACTGCCCGGCCTCTTTAAGCTAAGAGAGTAAGAACCCTTCTAGGCAGAGCCTAGGTAGGGAATAATACATACACAGAGTTAGATTTTCAGTGCGATCGAGGTGGGTACGCAGAGAAGTGGGGGCGGACGCCGACGGCAATGCTGTCCACTCTCGGCCGCGCGCCCGGGGGGAGGGAGGGAGAGGACAGCCGGCCTTCTCGGGAGGTGGTGGGACCTCCCGGAAGCCTTCGCGCCTTCGGGGGAGCCGGCTGCGGCTCCAGAGGAGGCTTGGCCTTCTGAGCCTCCTGAGAGGGCCCGGCCCCTCCGAGCCCCGGAGGATGTGCCGGGCGACCCCTCGCACTTCGGGCGGGGCGCCCCCTCCCCCCCCGGGTCGGAGGGCACCAACTATACACCAACGCCGATCCTGGCCCAGGATCACCCTGGGCCCAGGATCGGTGTGTATATGCCTTCTTGCCCAAGGCAGGAGGGCGTAGACGTTGATCCTGGGCCCAGGGTGATCCTGGCCAGGATCGGTGTTGGTGTATAGTTGGTGCCTTCCTACCGGGCTCGAACCACCTCCCCCCCCCTTGAGAGAGGGCACCCGCCCCGTCTGCTCGGACCCCCCGCCCCCACCATCTTGGGTGGGGCGGAGGGCTCCCAGGCTCGACCCCCCCGCCCCACAGGGGAGCGGGGGCCCCGGTTCGAACCCTGGTGTGTATTTTTTTTGTTGTGTTGTGTGTTTTTTGTATTTCTTTTTTTTGTTGTGTGTGTGTGTGTGTGTTTTTGGGTGTGTTTTTTTCCCACAGGTGCCTTCTGAGCCTTCTGAGAAGGCCCGCCCCCTCGCTCCTTCCCCCCGGCGCGCCGCCGACATTCTGAGCAGGACTCGCTGTCGGTGTCCCCGCGGGCGCTGTCCACGCGAGGCAGAGAGAGAGCCACCCACCCAGCAGTGATCGCTGTCGGTTTTGGATCTCGCTTGATGTTGGGCATCCTGCCCGTCTTCTCGTGCCCATATCGGACGTGCCAACAAGACGAACTGGCGAAACACATGCCGTCTACACGTTTTCGAGCCGCCGGATGTCTGGGGCTGGGCTGTGCGACCAAGGCCTTGCCGCGACGACAGGCAGCTTCGGCACGTCGATGACCGCCTCGGCGGGGACCCTGCCCCCCCTCAAGAAGCAGAGCGCAATCAACAGGCAGCTGGATCAGACCATGGGCCTGAGCAAGGATCCTCACACGATGACCAAGGAGCTCGGATGAGCCCAGACCTCTGGCGTCTTGAACATTACGCTTCTTTTGCTCAGTCGGCTTCTGGAGGGCGGGAAGGCGGGAGGGCGGGAGGGCGGGAGGGCAGGAGTGTGGGAGGATAGGGCTATGATCAGGGGCGGTTGCTTAGCGTGTCGCGCCGTTGGTTTTGGCACACCACGCTTCGGTGCGACACGCTAACGATGTCCCGTCCCCTAGGCGTGAACGTCCAGAGCCCTTCCCAGCCTCCCGCCCCGCGGAGCGGGGCGATACGCTATCCGCTCGCAAGGAGCAGGGTGTGTTGCCAGGGCCGCCTTTGCGACTCTCTGAGCAGCATTTCCTGACCGCATGTTTTTCCGAGGCGGGAATTATACATGACCACCGCCCGGAGGGTCAGTTTTCGGAGCCTCGGCAGGCGGTGGATATGGACAAGTTCGGCCCCGGGGGGCCGAGATGTATCCAGATCCACCGCCCGCTGGGGCACCAGGACGTCGGTTCCCAGGCGGTGGATATGGATAAACCCCCGCCTCGCAGTTTTCTGCTGAATCGGCCTCTGCAGGTCCGCTTCGGGACCCCCGGGAGCATCAAGAAGCCAGCCTGGGCTGAGCACTGCCCAGGCGGGCCCAGGACCAGCTGAGCATCGCACCAGCGCGCCCCAGGGCGCTCTCGGACCTCCTCGGGAGTGCCCTGGAACGGCTGCCGAACCATCTGCCGATGCGCCGTCCAGGCGCGGCCTTCTCCTGTCCTGTCCTGTCTGTCAGGAGGGAACAAACAAAAAACAGCACAGACACAATGAATCGTCGCTCCCCCAGAAAATAGGAAAATATGGGAAGCGGGGGGACGAAGCAAATCCAACAAATAGACAGGAACATGTAGGGAATCCTGAGATTTGTGTGTATTGCGAAGGCCTTACCGCCAGTGCCGCCGACCCTGAGAACGACAAAGATGAAGCCGAGGGGGGGGCAGGGGGAGGAGGATGAGAGGGAGGTGGAGGAAGGGTGGAGGAGGTGGATGAGGGAGGAGGAGGGGGAGAAGGATGTGGAGGAGAAGCAAGAGAGGAGAAAGAGGCAGAGGAGAGCAAGAGGAGGGGGAGCAGAGGGGGGGGGAGGAGGAGGAGGAGGAGGAGGAGGAAGAGGAGGAGGCCAGAGGCTTTCTTGGGACAGCCTGGGGCTCTCTTGAGGCCGTCTTGGGCCGTCCAGGGTTCCTTTTGCGCCGTCTCGAGGCACTCTTGGAGGTCTCCTGGGCAATTTGGGGCTCTCCTGGGCTGTCTTGGGGCAGTTTGGGAGCCCCTTGGGAGCCTCTTGGGGCCTCTTGCGGTTTCTTCGGGGCCTCTTGGAGGCCTCTTTGGGCTGAGAGCTCGAAATGTCGGTTCAGGTCCCCCGTCTGGGCACTCCCCTGGAGCCGACTTGGGGGCCTCTTGGGCCGTCTTGGAGGCGTCTTGGACCGTCTTGGGGCCCTCTTCGGCCGTCAGGGGACCCTCTTGGGGGCCTCTTGGGCCGTCTCGGGGCGATCTTGGGGGCCTCTTGGGCCGCCTTGGCGCGTCGGGAAGCGGAAGAGGCAAGAACGCCAACATCTGTCAAAAACGTATGGGAAATCCATGGATTTTGCCTCTTGGGGCTCTCGTGGGGAAGCTCCTGGAGGCCTCTTGGGGCGCTTTGCAGGCCTCTTGGGCCGTCTGGAGGCCGTCAAGGCGTCTTGGACAAATCGTTCGGCGATTCGGGGTTCTCTTGGACTGTGTTTGGGGCCTCTTGGGGCACTCTTGGCCCGTCTCGGGGCTTTTTTGGACTCCGGGACTCTGGGACTCCCCGGGGGGGCGTCGTATCTGCCCCCCCCCCCCCCCCGCGGGACCCCTCCCCGGGACCCCCCCCCGGGGACCCCCACCGGGGACCGCCCCCCCCCCCCGGCGGGGGAGGGATCGAAGGGAAGGGGCTTTCCTTCGATTATGACGTTGCTCAACTTCGCTTTGGCTGGCGCGCTGAGGAGGTCCCTGGGAAAGGGCGGAGCTTTGACGAGCCCAGGGAAATGGGGAGGCAGGGAAAGGGGACGACAGAGACGACGACCAACAAACGACGGAGATGACGACTGGAACGGACAAGCCCCTCACGCACGCCGACAGGGTCGGCGGATTCATTTGCCTGTCCCTGGGCCCCTTCCGCCTGGCACGGCTCCTCCCTCCTCCTCCTCCTCCTCCTCCTCCTCCTCCTCCTCCTCCTCCTCCTCCTCCTCCTCCTCCTCCTCCTCCTCCTCCTCCCCCTCCTCCCCCTCCTCCCCCTCCTCCCCCTCCTCCCCCTCCTCCCGCGCTGCGCAGTCCAGCTGCGCGCTTGGCCCGGCACGACCTCGTCTCCACCGGCAGTGCCGCAGCGGAGGGGGCCGCGGCCTCCGCGGGGCCCACGAGCTGCATAGAGCAAGAAGGGAAGGAGCGCCGGAGGGGGCCTTGGACCTCCGACGCCGCGGCTCTTTCTGTCGCGCTCTTTCTCCGTGCCCCTGGCTCCCTGGAGCTCTCGGCGCTATCCCCCTCCCCCATCCTCCTCCTCCCTCCTCCTCCTCCTCCTCCTCCTCTCTCCTCCTCCTCCTCCTCCTCCTCCTCCTCCTCCTCCTCCTCCTCCTCCTCCTCCTCTCTTCTTTCCTAGCCGTTTCGATCGAGCACCTGCTCACGGAGTGGCTTCGTCTGTGCACCTGCACTGCCCCCCCTCCTGCCCGTCCCCCTGCTGCTTCCTGTGATGATGGTCCGTACTCGGCTTTTGTGGCACAGGCGGCAATCGGACCTTGGGCACATCGCTGTCTCCCAGGCTGCTGACGCGAAGAAGAGGAAACTCAATTGCATCGTTGATTCGGCGCTCATTGGGCGGCCCAGTCGTGCACATCAGGGTGTGACCCACGCCTTTAGAGATGCAATCGTAGACTCCCTCGACGCGTTCATCTCCGTGGACCGAGGACATCGGCACGCGGATGGCACTTCTGTGGATGGCCATCGGTGCTGCTGGTCCTAGCGGTGGTGGTCAACCTCACGATTGCCGGTCCCCTGATGGTCGTGCTCCGGACGATGATGACGCTGATGGTGGAGGCGGTGTCGGCCACGGCGGTCCACACCCGCGTCGGCGCGCCGACGAAGGTCCGTGGTGGGGCGGTGCTGACCCTTGGGGCGGCGGCGCCCTGCCTGGCGGGCGGCTGCGGGGCCCCTCTGCGCAGAGCTCCGCATCTTCATGCTGGCCTACCTGGCGGCCTGCACGGTCATGGCGATCTTCCTGATGTGCCTCAGCGTCCCTTCAGCTCAGACGCATGGGCATTCATCCCGTCGGGCCCGCATGCGGTTGCGACCACCGTGGACGCGTTGATGTGCGAGCTTGCATTGGCACCGACTCGTGATGGGTCTCTCCTGGAGGTGGGAGGTCCTAGAGTTGCTCTTCCGCGCGATGGTGCTGCCCGTGAGCTTGTGGAGTATCGCGCCGACGAAGTTGATGAGGTTTGGCTCCTGAACGGCGTGCTGATGATCGCCGAGCGCTGCTCTTCATGGCGGTGGTGGTGCCCTTGAGCTTCACGCCGTGTGTCCAGAAGATGGTCGTGATATTCCTCTCCTTGGTCATCGTGCTGCTGACACTGGAGGGGGGGTGCTGATGCCTGTGATGACCGTCGCTCTCGAGATACTCATAATGCGGGTGCTCTCGACTATGGACCCCTGGCGCTCGAGACTCTGTATCCCGCGGGCTGCACAGTGGCTTCCACGGATGGCAAGGCGAACTGGCTTATGTCCATTGTTGTTCCGTCTAGCTTGTACACGCACCAGCCTCGGTTCCAGGCGACAGGTGTGGGCTATGGTCGTCTCCGCCGGCACCTACGCGTGGCCCTTGGTCAGAACCCGTGGGGGTGCACGTTTGGCTTCCGCGAGGCTTCGGAGGCGATGGAGTACGAGGCTGGGCCATTCACATGGACTTGGTCCTCTGCCTCATGGGTTCGGGGCCCGGCAATAGGCCTAGAGGTTGACACCAACACCAATATCGGCCGTGTGCCTCCACCGAGGGAAGAAGATCCCGATCTCGGTGATGGTGGTGATAACTCTGGCTTGCAAGGTGACCGAAATATCACAACCAACACCGAAATCTGGGATCATCATCCCCCTGTGGAGGCAAACTCCTGTGCTGGTGTTGGTGCCCATTTCCAGGCCTCCCAAATCCCCCCCCCTTCTCCGGCGGTGCCTCGGCCCACCGCTCAATTGCTGTGCGCCATGTGGGGGGGCTGCGTGGGGCGGGGGAGATATCAAAGAAGCATCCTCCTCCTCCTCCTCCTTCTCCTCGTTCTCCTCCTCCTCCTCCTCCTCCTCCTCCTCCTCCTCCTCCTCCTCCTCTCCTTCTCCCTTTTCAAACGCTGCTCGGATTGGGGTTGGCTGGAACTGAAGCGTCTCCTCCTCCTCCTCTTCCCGACTAGCTTTCTTTGTTTCGTCGCACCCCGAGGCGCATCGGCAGGGCGGGCCCGGCGCCTCGCTCTTGAGAGAGTTCCCCGCCAGGTGTTCCTCGGGCTGCGCGGGTGGAGGGCGGCCCCGTTCTGGTGCGGCTCTCGCTTTCAGCGCTGCGCGCACTCGCGGTGCCCATCCGCAGGAGCTTCACGGATGGAGGGCGCGCGGCGCCAACACTCGGGGGACAAAAAGATACGGATACGTGCTGTCCCCCTTCGTTTTCGGGCTTTCCTGGTCCTCCTGGGGAATCCTCGTCGTCACCGCTGGATTCGCCTCGAAATTCTGGTCAGAACGCACCCCAAGAGAGGTCCGGGGACAACACGTATCCGTATCTTTCCGCCCCCCAAAACACGTGGCTCTCGCCCCAGCGCCGCGCACACTCGTTTTAGGCATTCGCAGCGCTTTCACGGATGCAGGTCGGTTGGCCTTCAAACTGTGGCCTTCGCCCTGGCGGCACGCGCACTCGTTTGTGTAGCGTTTGTCGGTGTCATCTCGCGGATGGAAGGCGGTTCTTTTTCAAATGGTTGTTTTCGCCTCAGCGACACGCACATTCGTGTTAAGAGTTTGCGAGAGCTTCGCGGATGCTTGGCGACTCATTTTCGAAAGGTGGCGGTCGCCCCGGCGCCGCGCACAGTCGTGTTCCACGTTTGCAAGGGTTGCACGGATGGAGGGCGGCTCCTCTTCAAAATGTGGTTCTCGCCGCAGCGCCGTGCACATTCGTTTCAAAAGTTTGCAAGACGAGTTTCACGGATGCAGCTCAGGTGGCTTTCAAAATGTGGCTCTCGCCTCAGCGCCGCGCACACTCGTCTTAAACGTTCGCAAGAGCTTCGCCGATGGAGTGCGGACCGTTTTCAAATTGTGGCTTCCGCCCAGCGCCGCGCACATCCGTGTTAAGAATTTGCAAGAGTTTCACGGATGGAGTGCGGACCATTGTCAAAATGTGGCTCTCGCTTGGGTGCCGCGCACATTCGTGTTAAAAGTTTGCAAGAAGAGTTTCACGGATGGAGAGCGGACCGGGCAGTTTTCAAGCTGCGTCACTCGCCTCAGCGGCGCGCACATTCGTTTTAGACATGGGGAGGGGTTTGACATATGTAGAGCGGCTCTTGTTCCAGATGCGGTGCTCTTGTTCCAGATGATGTTCCAGATGCGGCTCTTGTTCCAGATGCGGTTTGAGCAGTTCAAATATTACTATGGTTGACGTTCCAGGGCTGGTGCTCCGGCACGAAGTAGGACTGTCAGGGCGCAACAGCCACGCTGATTCGCGGTATTGATGTCCCAGGAATGGTGTTTTGGTGTCATAAAGGATCGTCTGGACTCAACACTAAAGTTGATTCGCGGCGTTGAAGTCCAAGGAGTGTGGTGTTTTGGCACTGTTGCGGATTCGTAGACGGCTGTCTTCCAACGGGGCATTTCTAGCAGTGGGAACAAGTTCTTGCAGGGATCTATGAAGAGGGAACTTGGAGTGAGGGTTATTGCAACATCGTTGATGCGTCTTCGGTTTACACTGGTCCTCCTCCTCCTCCTCCTCCTCCTCCTCCTCCTCCTCCTCCCTGAGTTCCACCCCCACCTCAGGAGGATGGACGCCCACCATCGCGCATCCCCGAGCTGGGCCTCAAGTCCTTTAGTCCGTCGAAAGGCGTTCTAAGTCGGGGATTGGGGTCGTCGAGCCTCCTGCTACAGGGATCGTTTCTCCGCCCCGGACTATGATCCTGGCGCCAGGGCCCTGCGCGGGCGCACAAACTGAGAAAACCTGCCGTCGCAACTCGTTCGCTGCGAAAGATCTTGGGCCTCCAGGGACTTCAGGGGCGCCCCAGCTGAGAAAACCTGCCGTCGCAACTCGTTCGCTGCGAAAGATCTTGGGCCTCCAGGGACTTCAGGGGCGCCCCAGCTGAGAGAGAGCCTGCCGTCGCAACTCGTTCGCTGCGAAAGATCTTGGGCCTCCAGGGACTTCAGGGGCGCCCCAGCTGAGAAAACCTGCTGTCGCAACTCGTTCGCTGCGAAAGACCTTGGGCCTCCAGGGACTTCCGGGGCGCCCCAGCTGAGAGAGCCCGCCGTCGGGGCCTCAGGTGGGGCTTCAGGGGCGCCCCCGCTGAGAAAACCTGCCGTCGCAACTTGTTCGGTCCGAACGGCCTGGGGCCGCGGGGCCTCCCGAGGCCCAGGCGTCTGGCGTCTCGGGGAAACCGCGCCAGGGTTCCGCCGCGCCGCTGCCGGCCCCCGCGGGGCCCGCTCCTGGGCCCCGGGGACTGCTGGGACGCAGTCCCCGAGGCCCTCGGGAGGTCCCCGGAGGCCTGCCGAGGCCTGCCGAGGAGGCCAGTGGTGGGCAGAGAGCGCGTGGAGGCCCCGATGGGTCCACGGCCAGAGGCGTCCCGCACGCGCGGCGAGGCGGCTCGTGGAGCAGCGGGTCCCGGACGTCTCGGCCCCTTCCACGGGAGGGGGGCAGCTTGCTGTCCTGGATTTTTGTGGATGGCCCTGGGCAAAGGGTGTGGACAGGAATTGGGGAATCGTGAGGCGCATCACCACCACCAGGGGGACGCAGAACATACCTATACGACCACCCTGCGGGTGATAAGGAGGTCGGGGGGGAAGGGGGCCAGCAATGGGCAACAATGGTGATTGTTGCGTTGCCGCTCGCTCTTGGGAGCCTTGGTGTCGAAATGTTTACGTAATCGTTCGCTCTTGGGCACCTTGGTATCATTCCCCCCCCGGGAACCAACGAAGTAATAATTTACCGGCGGGCAACCGACGGGACAACGTGGGCTACCGCTTGACAAGGCCGGGGGGGGGGAAACATTTGTGTTGTCGGACCCCTAGCGACAGCAGAGTGAATTCCTATCGCTGGCCCACGCAGCTTCGCCTCGCCCGCACGCACGGCACGAGCACGAACTCGAAACTCGATTTCCAGGTGGGGGACTCCGTTACACTGCGATCTCACCCCCCAACCTCCCATATTGATCTGCGGGATGCAGCGGATGCCCCGCGCGAGCCTCCGAGGAGGTTAGCACCACCATCCCTGACCCTTCGCTGCCTCCAGCCTCCAGGTGGTGGTGGTGGTGGTGGTGGTGGTGGTGCGTTTCCTTTTCATTGTGGAGCGGCGTCCAAAGTGTCCAGAATAAAGGAAGGGGGGAAGGGGAGGGGAAACGGGGGGGTGTACTTGATGTACAGAGAACACAGCCCTAGGCTAGCCCAAGATAGAGGCTCCCCAGAGGAGAGTGGCATGCGGGGTCAGGGACAATAAGCAACCTTATCCAGAGTTTTTTGGAAGTTCCTGGAGCCTTCAAACGGCCTCCATGATGCCGAACATGTCGAACAACCCATGTGTGAATTGTTTTGCGTTTTTGTTGTTTGTTTGTTTTCCCGAAGGGGTGCTTGCTTTGCTTGGGTTCTTCTTTGAGTTACTGAGGAGTTGGACCGGTGTGTCGGGGTTTCGGCTGGTGCCCAGTTGTTGCCGCCTCGTTGCCGCCTCGTTGTCGCCTTGTGCGCTGGGTGGGTGTGTCGGGGTTTGGGCTGATGCCCAGGCGGTGTCGCCTCGTTGCCGCCTCGTTGCCGCCTCGTGCACAGGCTGGGTGTGTCGAGGTCTCGGCTGGTGCCGGATTGTTGCCGCCTCGTTGCCGCCTCGGTGCTGCCTGGTTGCCGCATCTCTCGCCACATAGCTTGCACCACATAACTTACACGTCCACAGTGCAATCTTTCTCGGTTCGGGGTCCACGCAGACATGCATAGTTTGCTGTTCTGCTTTGATCTTGGCATGCGTTGGAAGTCTGGGAATGCGCCTGCCTCCCCCGGATACCCGCGCCGAGGACGAGTGGGACAGCCACGGCATGACGGCCGACGACTTCTTGAGGACGGGCGTGTCGCACGAGGTCGGTGGTGCGCGCGGAAGGGGGAGGGCGCGAGGGGCGAAGGAGGAATCGAGGCTCGAGGTTTCGAGGACTCGGGGATGGAGGCTCGAGCATCGAGGCGATTTTGAGTTTTTCGAGGATCGAGGATCGAGGAGGAGGAATCGAGGATCGAGGTTTCGAGGGTGGCGGCTCGAGGATCGAGGCTATTTTCTGAGTTTTTCTTGTTTTTTTTGGGGGGTGGGGGCCTCGGGGAGAGGCTCCTCGTCGCCGCGGCGGGGCTCCCCCCCTGGCGACGGGCGACAAGCGCCCCCCAGGACAGGTCCAGGGGAGACTTTCGGCCAGATGTCTCTCCTCCTCCTGCTCCTCGAGATCCTCCTGCTCCTCCTCCTCCTCCTCCTCCTCCCCCTCCTGCTCCTCCTGCTCCTGCTCCTCCTCCTCCTCCTCCTCCTCCTCCTCCTCCTCCTCCTCCTCCTCCTCCTCCTCCTCCCCTCCTCCTGCTCCTGCTGCTGCTGCTGCTCCTCCTCCTCCTCCTCCTCCTCCTCCTCCTCCTTCTCCATTCCTTTTCCCTTTTCTCTCGGGCCGGGCCCTGGGACAATCGAACGACGGCTGGGGATGAAAAGCTGGCCCAGGGGGAATCCCTTGTTGGTCCAGTATATGCCTTTCACAGCAGCCCTTTCCCTCATGGCAAGTTGCGGCCTTCTGAGAAGTCAGGGGGCTTCTCAGAAGCTCCCCCGCCTTCAAGAAGCCTTCCCAGAGGCCCCAGATGCCTTCGAACGAGCCCTATGGAGGTCTCCAGAGGTCTCGGGAGGCCCCCTGGAGGCCTCGGGGGGCCCAACGAGGCCCAAAGAGTTGTAAGAGCGTCCCAACTTCGGTGCGGTCGAATGGAGACGGACACAGTGGGGACGAAGACTGACAGCCCATCCTGCCCATTTTGAACAGGATTCATTGTCACTGCCGCCTCGGACGTAGTTTCTTTGGGACGAACGTCGCTTCGCTGTCAGCGCCGCCTCGGACGTATTTTTTTTGGACGAGCGTCGCCTGCGAAACAGCGGCCGCTGTTGGTTTTGGGCAACGTCTGGTGGTGGGCGTCGTCCCGGTTCTGCCATCCCCATTCTGGGCGGGCCAGGAGATCCTCTCGATCCCTGATCCCTGATCCTCGAGCCCTGGTCCTCGAGGACCCCCCTGCCTTCTTTCTTATCGAGTCGGACGGAGGGTGAGGGTGGGAAGGGGTGGGGGTGGTGGTGGTGGTCGCTGCATAGGGGAAACAAGTCCCAAGCAGAGCAACACGCACCACGGCCACGACGACGCCGACGACAATGACGACGACGACGGAGACGAGGCGCGCAGACGATCCGAACCGAAGCACAGATTCGGGAAGTGGCCCACCCTGCAGGTTCGGTCAAATAGCACATCGTTGAGCGGTGCTGCAGCCTCCCCTGAGCACAGGCCCCCCCTGCGGAGCATCATCCAGACAAGCCGGGTGGGGGTACGGAGAGTGCTGCGTGCAGCTGGTCGCAGCCCCGTCGCTGGGCGCCCTCCTCAACACGCGGGCGCCTCGGGCGCCGGGAGCCGCCGGGGACGCCAGCGGCAGTCGGCTCATTCCCTGCCTCCCCCCGTTTTGCCCCCCCCCCCCCCCCCCCCCCCCTCGCCCGTTCTGATCTTGGAAGACTTGGCGCCGCGCACAAGGGGGTGGCATTGGGGGGGTGGCTTTCTTTCAGAAGTGCCCCGAGGCTTCCAACAAGCCCTCTTGACTCTGAGAAGCCCCCTCTCATGGGCCTGTTGTCCACCACCACCACCACAAGTTGAAGAGGGAGGGGGTCCTCCTCCTCCTCCTCCACCTCCTCCTCCTCCTCCTCCTCCTCCTCCTCTTTGTCCTCCTCCTCGTCCTCCTCCTTCCCCCTCCAACTTATGGTGGTGGTGGTGGTGGTGGAAAACAGGCCCATTACCCTCTGTCTTCTTGGAAGCTCCCCAGGCTTCTGAGAAGGCTGGCGCTCTCCCTCGCGCCACGCCCTGTTTAGATGTTCCTTTCGGGGTCCTTCCTGGGGCCCTCCTGGCGTACATGTTTTACTAGTTCGGCTCTGGCTCGACTCCAGCTCGACTCAAGTTCGACTCGATTTCGCCCCAAGTTCGACTCACGTCGACGGGCGTTCGACGCAGCGTCGACGCATGAGTGGAGCGAGTGGCTCCAGAAAAGTTGCCCAGGACGAGCATCTAAACTCTTGTGCGCGCTACCATACAGGCCGCCCCTCTCCCTCACCCCCCCTGACCTCCCTGCGCGCCGCCGGCCAGGGCCAGGGTCGCAAGGCGTACCTCAAGCACCAGGTCAAGCATGGAGGTCCCCGCGAGCGGTTCGGTGGCCAGCCGCTCCTTTCCAGCCACGAGGCCGGACGAGGAGTAGGAGGAGGAGGAGGAGGAGAAGGAGGAGGAGGAGGCGGAGGAGGAGGAGGAGGAGGAGGAGGAGGGAAAGGAGGGACAGGAGGAGGAGGAGGAGGAGGAGGAGGAGGAGGAGGAGGAGGAGGAGGAGGAGGAGGAGGAGGATGAGGAGGAGGAGGCAGGAGAGGAGGGGAGGAGGAGGAGGAGGGAGGAGGAGGAAGAGGAGTAGGAGGAGGAGGAGGAGGAGGAGGGAGGAGGAGGAGGAGGAGGAGGAGGAGGGGAGGAGAGGAGGAGAGGAGAGGAGGGGAGGTTGGTGGAGAGGAGGGAGGAGGTGGAGGAAGGACGATAGGAGGAGGAGGAGGGGGAGGAGGAGGAGGAGGAGGAGGGAGGAGGAGGAGGGGGAGGAGGAGGGGAGGAGGTGGAGGTGTGGAGGTTGAGGAGGAGGAGGAGGAGGAGGTGGAGGAGGACGATAAGGATGAGGAGGAGGAGGAGGAGGAGGAGAAGGAGGAGGAGATGAGGAGGAGGAGAGGAGGAGGAGGAGGAGGGAGGAGGAGGAGGAGGAGGAGGAGGAAGAGGAGGAGGAGGAGGAGGAGGAGGAGGAGGAGGTGGAGGAGAAGGATGAGGAGGAGGAGGTGGTGGTGGTGGTGCAGGTGGAGGCGGAGGTGGAGGTAGAGGTGGAGCTGGAGGAGGAGGAGGAGGAGGAGGGGAGGATGAGGGAGGAGGAGGAGGAGGAGGAGGCGAGGAGGAGGAGGAGGGGAGGGAGGAGGAGGAGGAGGAGGAGGAGGAGGAATCTTCTGTCCAATCAGTGCTTGAAACTCAGATGTTGCAGTTTTTTTCGAAGAGATGGGGTGGGACCGCCGAGGTTCCGCCCGGTGTCGGCCCGAGGGCGCCCGTGGGCGCCTCGTGGGCGCCTCGTGCGCTGGGTGGGACCGCCGAGGTTTCGCCTGGTGCCCGCCCGAGGGCGCCTCGTGGGCGCCTCGTGGGCGCCCCGTGAGCTGGGTGCGTCCGCCGAGGGTCCCCCACGCTCGCACCTGTTGCCGCTCGCGGGCGCGATCTTGTTTGCCCACGTAGCTAATTCCGCATAGCTTACGCAAGGTAGCTTGCACCACACAGCTTGCACAACTCAGCTTGCACCACACAGCTTGCACCGCGTAGCTGGCATCTCCAGCTCACAGCACATAGCGTACCCCTCCAGCTTACGCCACACAACGTACACTGCATAGCTTGCACGACGTAGCTTACACTGCATAGCTATGACCTCTTCAACGCAATGGCTCACTTTCCAAACAAGCACATCCATATGAGGCGACGCCGCAGGCGTAGCCCAGTAGGACAGAGTGACTGCATAGGAGTCGGAGCAGGCGAGTGTGGAGGAGAGCGAGGATGATATCGATCTTCGAGGACCGAGGGCGAGGTCTCTGGACGTCTTTGGCGCCTTCGAGGTCTCTGGAGGCCTCTTGGACCTCTAGAGGCCGCCGAAGACCTACAACCACAGCGGCCGCCCGCACAGCCTCGGGGGTAGGATGGGGAGGGGAGATGGAGGGGGGAGGATAATGAGATGGAGCAGGAGGTTGAGGCGGAGGAGGAGGAGGAGAAGTAGGATGAGAATGATGAGAAGGGTGGTGGCGGAAACAGAGGGAGTGTGGGACGGAGGGACGGAGGGGAATGAGGGGGAGGGGGGGGAAGAGGGATGAGGAGGGAGGGGAGGGGGGGGATCAAGCCAGGTGCGCTCGCGTCATGTCTGACGTCCTATCCCTCCCTCCCATCCCTTATTATGGCGTATATATCTTCTTTATTAGCACAGTCGGATGTCGAGCAGGGCAATGATCGCGAGAGGATACGCGATGCATGGTAGAGCACGGCCTGGCATGGCGTAGAATAGCATTGCAGAGCGAAGCATGCTATAGCATGTCGTGGCATCTCGCAGTGGAGCATTGCATCACAAAGCATTGCAACGCAAAACATGTCATCGCACAGCGGCGCAGAACACAACACCGCACAGCATTTTATGGCATGGCGCCAGGTTCCTTGGGGGGTAGATAGATCGTCTTCGAAGGGTGTGGTCCGGTCTGGAGTCGTGGCTCCATGTCTAGCTCCCTGGGCTCTCCGAAAAGCTCTCCACAAGGCGGGGCTTATGGAGAGCACCCGCTATCTCTGCTTGAAACATCGCCTTCTCAAAGCAGAAACGGGGTTCCCGCTTGATACTTCCTGAAAACAGGGATGGATCGACACCGAATGTGTAATCACTTCCGATGGTTTCTTCGTGGGGGCTTTTTTTAGATTTTGGGACCTATCTGGAAGCACCGAAAACTATGCCGTGGCATGGCGCTGGAAATAATGACGCCAGCGCTGCAGCGGGAGCACGATTCGGAACGAGCGGAAGCGCGGAATGAGGCCAGCGCTGCAGCGGAAGCACGATTCGGAACGAGCGGTAGCCCGACAATGAGGCCAGCGCCTCAACGAGAGCAGCATTTTGAACAAAAACCCAAGCGAAACCCCGTTTCCCAGGAATCCTGTGTGGAAACCAGTGCGCGGAGGGGGGCCGATTATTTCTGGGACGTCACCAGGGGGAGAGAGGAGAGTAGTATTCACATTGTGTAGGTGTGGAGGGAGGAGGGAGGGAGGGAGGGAGCCAGGTGAGGAGGAGGAGGAGGAGGAGGAGGAGGGAGGGAGGGAGGATGAGGATGAGGGTGAGGGTGAGGCTGCGGGTGAGGGTGAGGATTAGGATGAGGATGAGGACGATGAGGATGAGGATGAGGATGAGGATGAGAATGCGGGTGGGGATGAGGATGATGATTGAGGATGAGGGTGAGGATGAGGAGGAGGATGAAGAGGAGGAGCAGGAGCAGGAGGAGGCGGAGGATGATGATGCTGTTGTTGATGATGGTGATGATGATGATGCTGCTGATGATGATGATGTTGCTACTGCTGACGATGATGCTGCTGATGATGATGATTGTAATGCTGATAAAGGTGTTGATGTTGATGCTGATGCTGATGATGCTGACGATCAGGATGATTATGATGCTAATGATGATGCTGATGCTGATGGTGATACAGCCGCTGCTGCTGATGAGGCTGTTGATTGTGTTAGTGGTGATGAGGGCGATGTCGATCATGACGACGATGAAGATGAATATGATGATGACTATTATGATGATGATGATGATGATGGTGGTGATGATGATGGTGATGCTGATCATGATGATGCTCATGCTGCTGCTGATGGTGATGATGAATATGTCGCTGATGGTACTGTTGATGATGCTGCTGCTAATGATGATTATGATGGAACTGATGCTGCTGCTGATGCTGATGCTGCTGATGGTGATGATGATGAGGATGGGGAGTATGATGACGATGATGATGCTGATGATGCTGACGACGATGATGCTGCTGCTGCTGATGATGTGATGATTGTGATGATAAGGTTGATCATGATGATGGCGATGATGATGGTGCTGGTGATGATGATGCTGATGATGATGATGATGATGCTGCTGGTGCTGATGATGCTGATGCTGCTGATGACGATCAGGATGTTGATGATGATAGTGATGCTGATGATGCTGATGATGCTGCTGATGATGACGATGATGATGCTGATGATTTTGATGTTGCTGATGATTGCTGCTGCTGATGATGCTGCTATTGCTGTTGTTGCTGATGCTGATGATGATGATGCCGATGATGATGCTGATGCTGATGCTGATGCTGATGCTGATGCTGATGGTGATACAGCCGCTGCTGCTGATGAGGCTGTTGATTATGTTAGTGATGATGAGGGCGGTGTCGATGATGCTGACGATGACGATGAAGATGACGATGACTACGATGATGACGATGATGATG